TGGCACACTTATATAATCCAAATGCATTGCATATTACTAAGACTTAATCATTAGATAAAAATATGAAGTCTAAAGATTATGAACAAATACTAAGAATGCAGCCCACACTAAAGAATACAAAAGCTCTATCACTGCTAGTAATATAGCAACTCAGACAACATGAAAATCCTTTTACTATAATCACCTAGATACACTGAGTAAAACCTCCTGTGATTATTTTAAATGTACAACGAGGCTCACAAATAATAAAAGCCAACCCCCAGGTGCCAGAAACAAAAGGGAAAAAGAAAAAGCAGAAGAGTGAATGCTTGAGATAACAGGGGGTATTTGTCTCCAGAACCTAGGGGTTTGGGATTTAATACCTTACATAGGCACAAGAAATGAGGCTTTGGGCTCTAGGGGGTAGAGAATTAAACTGAGTACTTCACATAAAGCCAAGACCCTCAAAGAACTATTTTATTTATGAAAAGATTTAAAAAACAAGAGAGACCACACAGGGCAACTGGGCTTTGGGTGGGAGAATAATAAAAGCTCTCTGAGAATTTAAAACCACAGGACTACCAGTCCTACGGCTTTCACTCTACCCACAGAATCCCGAGACTTCAGACTAAAAAGTTACATAAGAACAGTTCCTTAAACACCGATACCCCTGGGAAGAAGTCGAACAAAGACATAGAAGCAAAGCTCCCACATCCCAAATATCATGGACTGTTCCAGACATACGAAGATGTGGAGCAACAACGCTCTGCTAATGATGAGTTCATGATGGAAACTTACAAAGCCCACAAGTGAACAACCCAGGCTGATCAAGTGTATGCATATAGTACAAACACATAACTAGGTTCTCCCCCACAAACACACACCGATCATTCAAGAAACACATACAGTAACTGGAGACTAGCAAAGAATCAAACTCTAAAGATAGAACTCGGTGTGGAGGAAAGATAAAAAGAGGAAGAAGAAGAAGACCAAAACTTACATAGTATATCTTGGCATAAATATTTTTTTATTTATTTTTTGAGATTATAATTACATCGTTCCCCCCTTCCCTTTCTTCTCTCCAAAACCTCCCATGTACCCCTACTCAGCATAAATCACTTTTAAAGATTATGAAATGACATAAAACTCTTTGTTAAGATAGGTGAGCGAATTCTAAAATGATTGAAAACTATGTCATGTTTCTGAGCTTGAAGGGTGACTATAGTAAAGGCTAACTTGTAAATGGTGACATGCCTATCAAAAGCCACTAGCTGATTCTACAAACTTCACAAGCTGATTCCAGTGTGCATACCGAAGGGAAAGGGACCAAGAAGAGTCAAAGAAGTCAGGTGACGGCAAGGTTCATGCTACCAGAAAGCAAGAAAAATATAAACCTATAGTGTTTGATACATGAAGTATTTGCAAGAGAACAGCTCCAGAGATCAGTGGATGGTAACCATGAGCCACACGTATGTAGGATCCTGCTATATGACGGAAGTGTCATTACAAATGAGCCCAAACAAATATATTAGTCAATAAATAGCCCAAATCATTTGCAGTGAGTTGAGCAGATAAATGACCTTAAAAAGCAAAATTTAAAAAAAAAAAAGAAGAAGAAAAAGAAAATCTTCAGAGAACCCACTTGATTCTCATTATTTTGGATCTATGTATTCTAAATGAACATTGGATTAGCAAATATTGAAAGAATGCTCCTTGGGAAAATATAGAGTTGGGTTCTTGCCAGGCTTTGGCTACCATTTCTATCAACTGATCAATATATAACTTGTTTTACAAGTATTTTTCTTTAAATATAATCCATTTACTGTGTATTGTCGATTCGTTAACATGAAGCTCATGCCAACAGTACTATCGCGCATGCTTGGAATTATTTTTACTTAGCACATGTATCTGCTCCATAAGGCACCTCACAGTTTAGTTACTCTTAGGGAATACTAGGCACCACTTCACCACTGAGCTTGGGAGCCATTTTCAATAGCAAACTCTTTAAGAAGACAAACACACATATATGAAAAGCGTGATGCATAAGTTTATCTCTGGAAGAACATTTGGTTATGGTCTGGAAACTTAAACAAAAAGGCAGAGTGTCACCATGTTTGACCTCAACTGGAACCATGCATTTGACCCATATTTTCCACCGCCTTCGCACATGACAATTGCACATATTAATATTGAATTATGAATAAGTTTTAGTGAGCAGGGAAATTTGTAAATCTGAGATCTGAGCATGAGGATCAACTACACCTATATGGTTTTTTTAGGGTTCTAGAAAAAATTCTTGAGAATAAATAACCAAATGATATTCACAAAATAACAACAACAACAACAAAAAAAACCCCAGTCATCAGAGATGGCCTGAGGTTTTAGACATTTTGCAAACCCTACATTATCAGTCAGTTTTAATATGAGAGAAGGGGAAAGGAGTTTTGTACACGTAAGTTGAAGACCTCGGGTTTGTTTTCATAGTTGCTGCCCAGCCCATTATGGATGGCACCATTCCCTAGACAGAGGATTCTGAGCTATATGAGACAGGAGAAAGCGACATGAAAACCAGTAGACGCAAGCAGGGGTGTGCATATTCTCCCTTCCTCTTGACTGTGATGTGATGTGACTAGCTGATTGATTTCCTGCCTTGACTTCCCTGAAAAGATGAACCGGGAGCTGAAATTGTAAGCCAAATAAACCCCTTCCTCCTCTGTGATGCTTTCAGTCAGGGTATTTTATCTCAGCAACTGAAATCTTTTCATGTAGCAGTTATTTTTGTTGCTGTTGTTTTTGTTGTTAAGATTTAGCGTAAAGTTACAGAATTCTTGCAAATTTATTTTTAAAGTTTTATGGCAAATCTATAGTTATATTCTTTTTTAGTTTTCATTAATATGGCTAGCTTTTCACGTTTTTTTTCTTCAGCTCAAACCTAGGGCCTTGTGCATATTTACTTTGAATTTAATTGCATTAGAATCAGAGAATGTACTATGTTTCTCAATGATTGGTAATTGTGATCTGTTTCGTGGTCAGTTTTTATAAATGTTCCAGTGTGCTTAAAATATGTATTCTGTAGAGTGGATCTTAAAAATTGCATTTCAAACGTTGATTTGAGTTCCAGAAATGTTTGCACATGCACAGATCTATATAGTATATAGACATGCATTTATAGATACTCACATGATGCATCAGGTTAGTTAGACTGTCCAATATTTCATACTTTTATATTTCCATGACAAGTTATTGACAAAGATATCACAAAGCTTTCTCTATCAATTTAGCCTAGCACTTGTGCAAATTTCTGTATTAATTTTAAAGCTTTGTGATTAGATGCATATACATCTAAATTATTTTCTTCTTCATGGTGAATTATTCCCTTTGCATTTAGCAATAATCTTTTTGTAAAAATTCTCCACAATATTCTTTGTATTGTGAACTGAAGGGAAAAAGAGCTGCACCTGTGTTAAAGATTATACAAGGTCAAATGACTTAGTTTTGTGATTATGGAAAATTAAAATGTTTCAGCCCAAGTCAAATTATTTGGAGCTATTTTCAGTCCCTTTAAAAGTCATTCATTGCCCATTTCTGAGTTTGACAGAATGCCATGGATCCGAGAGAGAGCGGGGGAGGGAGGCATACATGGGAGGGGTTACAGGGAGGAAAGGGAAGGAGAAACAGGATGTAATTATATTTTAATTTAAAAAATTAATGAAACAAACACTTTATTTTATTTTTAGAAAGCCACTAGCTTCCATCAATCCACTCTTGTTGCCGCCTTGGGTGGGTCACTAGTCTAGGGGTTGTAACCCACCCTGCAGCTAGTTATTCCAGGGTCTCGGAGGGGCGCTACCTGGAAGGGAATGAGCTAAGACAGAAGAAGGAGGCCAAGCAGATTTGTCAAAGCCTCCGTTTATTAGGGTCATGGTTGCTGTTTATATAGGCCCGAGATGAGGACTTTGAGGGGCAGGGAAACTGGATTCTTGCCGCGTGTTCCAGGTCATGTGGTTCAGGTTCCTCACGTAGGCCAAGAGGTCACATTCGGACAGGTAGGCCAAGAAGTCACGAGTTGCCACACCTGGTTCCCTGGATAGCTGGAATGTGAGGCGTGTTCTGCTAACAGATTAACAGTTAATTGGGTGTGGGGCAGATTTTGTCAATAGAACGTAATTATGGGTGTGAGGTTCCCTGCAGACTCCCCAGGGTGATGGTTCCTGTAATGATTTTTAGGGGGAAATGGCTCATGACACACTCTAACAGTATCTCCTATATTGTGTGAGGTCTGGGATGGAGATTTCCACACTCTGCTATAACTCTCAAAACTGATGTTTCTCCCAATGTATTAATGTGTTTTGATGCATGATTTTTTTCTGCCACTGTAAAGATTGATTAAAAACTGTTACCATGTTAGAACATAGAATTAGAGGTAATACAGGTTTCTGAGCATGACCATACATATTTAAATAAATTATCATTTGTTCTTTGAGGTGAAAATTACATTTTTACAACAGCATTAATACCTATCTTGTCTGATGGTAGAATTATCATGATTTCTGTCAGACTGTTTTCCTGCCTCTGGGAGTTTCTTTTGCTTTTCTCCGAGTTTAGATATTCATTTCAAAAGATATCTGATACAATTCATGCATTATTTCTGATATATGCAGCAGGCAGACTTGTAGGATCTGGATTGTTTCTCAATCTTGAAGTTCTAAAGTTGTAAAACTAATGAAACATAGCCTAACCTTTCGACAGAACTTAATTGTCTGATATGCAATCAGAACAGCAGAGTAAGTTGTAGTATATATAACCAAGACCCTGTCTTATCAGTCAGGTTCTCAAACCATATTAATTATAGGGCTCAATCTGAATATACTTATTTTATAATTCCAACAAACATAAAAAAATAAGGGCTTTGTTGTTGGTCTCACAGTCTCTCTCAAGATTCTGATATGACCCTCATCCCTGAAGGTGGTCCCCCACCACTGAAGATCGCTGGTTATGGAATCTCCAAAAATGATGACAGATTGATGATGGAAATGCTTTATTTCAACAACAGTTTAGCATTCTTCTTATCCTCAGCCACTCATAGATATTATACCTAATAGTTTTCTCTCCTGCTCTGTGGGTTCCTTCCAGTATGCTTCCAAATTGTTCCGGTCTCCTGGTTAGGTATGATCTAAAACCAGCAGGCTCAAAGCCAGTTCATCACAGGTCATGTATGAATCCCAACACTGGAGGTCAATCTCATCAACAGATTTTTAACCTAGTCTTAGTGGTTTGCTAAGGACTGCCAACACTCACACTATGCATCTGCTTGTTCTATGAATTAGGGTCTACTTTGCCTGATTACGATGGATTTCAAAGGTCCTGGTTAAGACTAGAGATTGGGATCAGCTGTTTTCAAAGAGGCTGGGAGAAGTTTTTGTTCATCTTGAGCAAGATGGCTCTGCGGCTTCTCATGTTTATGTACTACATAGAAAGCCTTTAGGAACTCATTAAAGTCTATGTTTCCGTCTTTGTTGAAGTCCACTATCTTGGCAAGCTCATCAATTTGGGAATCATCAATTTGAACATTGTAGTGAGCGTTGAAAAGTTTCCACATGGTCCGGAATTCATCCAAGGAGATTAGACCTAAAAGCAAACAGGAGAAAGTTAAGTGCTAATGTTAAGACCCCCCCCCCGAAAGAGTAGGGGAGAAGCCACACTGATTGAATAGTCCCAATTACAAACTCACTAACATGCCCGAGAATCAAAGTACTGAAGGAAACAGAAAAATAAGATCATATGTGTAAGAAACAGTATGTTGCTTGCTACTACCAAGGATCCTGGGAATATGTTAATGCCAGAAAGAGTAACAGGTGAAGAACTAGTAAGCGGATATGGATGAAAGTGGTGTAGAAATTCTATAAACTAAAATCTAAGGGTATAAGATACAGAAAAGGATGGTAGAAGAGATAGCAACATTAAAGCAGGAGAAAGTACCCCGAGAGTCAATATGATGATGATGATGGTGTGTGTGTGGGTGTGTGTGGGTGTGGGTGTGGGTGTGTGCGCGCGCGCGCGCGCGCATGTGCAGCCTAAGCCATACTGCACATGCTGAGGTCAGAGGACAACTTGAGAGTCCGTTCCCTCTTCCACCCTTCTACCACGTGTGTCTCAGGGATTGAATTCAGATCATCATGGTCAGCGGTGAGCAACTTTGCCTGATGGGTCATTTCATAAGGCCATGGGTGCTGTTTTTATATGCAATAATCTATTTTCCTGGATCATTATTGATACTTTTTCACACTCAGATGTCTCTGCACAGAGGTTCGGGGCAGGGTGCTGAGGATGGTACCCAGAGCCTCATACACAACAGGCAATCTCTCTACAACTGAGCTATATTCCCAGCCCTGCCTTTTTAAATCACAAAATCAGTAATCATATACTAAAGCTAAATCAAAACTGAGTTTTCAATCCCTTAAACAAAATCAGCACTCTTTTCCTATTAACTAAGATACTACAGCAGAAAGCGAATCATCTTTAATTGGTTCTCAGTCTTGCGGCTACGATCAAGTGCGAGTCTTTCTCATCCCTGCTGGTGGTTTATATAAAGGAGCTGTTCAGTGAGACCAATGATTATAAAGGCTTCTGGAGAACTCTATGGTCTCCAGTACAGAATTTGTGGCCAAACTAAATGACCAATAATATTAAATATTCGTTTATTTTTTTCTTTACATTTCCCCAAGTTGGATGAAGAATGAAATCAATGAAAACTGAGTCCCAAACTCAAAGAAACAAACTAGCCTTTGCTTCGTATTACTCCTGAACCAATTGGTGTTCAGTATTACTCCTGAGCCAGTCAACATTCACTTACCTGAGTGATCAGTGTCGATGACATTAAATATGATTTTCAGGTCAGATCGGTATCTGTACAGAGTTTCAATTAGACTAGATTTCATCTAGAATCAAGATTTTTTAAGTGTTAGCATACTGAGGATTAATTTCATTTTACATTCCAACCGATCTCCCTCCTGTCTTTCCTCACTCTCCCCCCTCCCCTCCCTCCCAGCCTACGCCTCATCTACTCCTCCCAAAGGGTTAGGCCTCCCACGGGGAGTCAACAAAGTCTGCTACATTTCAGTTGAGGCAGGACCAAGCTCCTCCCCTCTGCATTGAGTCTGAGCAAGGCATCCCTCCATAGGGAATGGGCTCCAAAAAGCCAGCTCATGCACCAGGGATAGATCCTGGGCCCACTGAGAGGGGCCCTAAGATAGACCAAGCTACACAACTGTCTCCCACATGCAAAGGGCCTAGTTCAGTCCCATGGAGGTTCCACGGCTGTCAGTGATGAGTTCCCACGAGCTTGAATAAGAAAGAGGACTACCAAATGCAAGCAACTGCACATTGTAGAAAGCTTGGCAGAAATACCTTCATTATTGCAAATAGTTTAGCTGTGTTAGAGTTAAGTCCTTTCCTCTTAATTTAGACAAAAAGAAAGAAATATTACAGGACATCTGATCACACTGCGAACCCAGAGATTGCATTGTTTGCTGGACAAACCTGTTTCTAGTTGTGGTGTCCCTCTGCCCTAGCCCACACCTGTCATCCAAGAGCCTCCTTCATGAATATTGTAAGCAGGATTAAATAAAGTCAACCATAGGTCAAGAGGCAGAACAAGCAACCAGTTCACAAGAAGTAAACATAGAAAAAAAACAATAGAGACTACAGGGGAGTGAGGAGGATGAACAGAGAGATGCACAGGAAATAGAGAGGAGGGATATTTTAGTTTGAGGAGGCTTGTTGGAGACAGAGTAGGAGAAAGAGCCTTCTGGAACATCTGCAGAGGAGGAAGGTTGGCTGGGTGCTTTCTCTGCCTCTTTGAGCTAACAGGTTTTCACCACCCCCCCCCAAAAAAAAACCCAATACAGAATAATTTCAGCAAATGCAACAAATACAAAATAAACCCATAAATCCTTTTTATCTCTTTATGGTGCTAAGGGATAAATCCAATAAGCATGCTGGGCTTATTTACCACTGAACTAGGTCTTAAGACCACCAATTCAAATCTCAGAAGGCAAGCTGTCCCTTGGCCTAACCACTCTGAGTCTGATTAAAGACTTGCCCATGTGTTCTACAGGGACAAAGACTCAATACGACAGCAGGAAATAACAGCTGCAAATCTACAGAAAAGTCTACAGGGATTGTTCCATTTCATCTTCTATAATCTTAAAGAATAAGGACAGAAAAGAAAAAGATAAAGCAATTTTCCCAGAGGTAAGGTAGTGATATTTGGATCTTAGCCCCTCTGTGCTGAAGCCTATGATCTGAATCGCCGTGGTAAACGGTCGCTACCATCCAAGGCCTTCTTCCTGGAGATATTTTCCCATCTGGTCTACATGATTCTCTTTGTTCTTCTCATCTTCCCTACAAAGGATCACCCAGGTTCCCATCTGCTGTGTTCTAACTAGTAACTGATGAATTGCTAACTAGTTAGATGGGATCTGATCAGTGGCCCTGTGGTACTGTCATTTTAATAAGATATTTTATATCTTCTAATACTTTAAGGCATATTCTAGGGCATGTCAGCAGGTCTGTACATGCATGTTGAGTATTTGAGTGGTATTTTTTTATGAGAGACTGTGGTGATGTTGTTACAGCTGCCCGGGACAACACCTGAAACTAAGAATGTCAGATTTGACATAGATTTGCTTACAAAGCTTTTGGTTTTTTATTTTGTCTGTTCGACAGAGCACACACACATTTCCCAACCTCCTCATCTGTCACGAGCCATTTCCCCCCTAAAAATAATTACAGGAACCATCACCCTGGGGAGTCTGCAGGGAACCTCACACCCATAATTATGTTCTATTGAGAGAACCTTCCCCACACCCAATTAACTGTTAATCTGTTAGCAGAACACGCCTCACAATCCAGCTATCCAGGGAACCAGGTGTGGCAACTCGTGACTTCTTGGCCTACCTGTCCGAATGTGACCTGGCCTACGTGACCACGCGGCGAGATCCTGTGCCCTGCCCACCAAGTCCTCATCCAGGGCTATATAAGCAGCAACCATGATCCTAATAAAGGGGGCTTTGACAAATCTGCTTAGCCTCATTCTTCTGTCCTAGCTCATTCCCTTCCAGGTAGTGCCCCTCCGAGACCCTGGAATAACTAGCTGCAGGGTGGGTTACAACCCCTAGACTAGTGACCCACCCAAGGAGGCAACACTCACCATGTTCCCCAGAGATTCCCTTCTGGCCTTTCTTGAGACTGTCATTCCCGTCCATTAGATCATTCCAACCCTAATTTTTGAAAGCACTAAGTTGCTTAGAGGTTGTCCAAAGGGTGTTGTGACGGAGCCAGGTTTTTAGCTGGAACGAACATGTCACTCACCTCCTTGACAGGCTTTTCAATGTGGACATCCTGGAAGCTGGACATGTAGTCAACATTTCTATCTTCGTCTATGTGTACCAGGTGTGAACTCAGAGATCTCCATGGTAAGTTCAGCCCCAAAATGTTCTCCATAGAAAAAGCCCACTGTGCCAATGAAATCCTCCCTGACAGCAACAACAAAGGCCCATATGATTGGTACATAATTTGACAAAATAAAAGCGCAAGCTCCTTCACAGAGCTAGTGACAGCCAGGGGTTTTGAGGACTGAGGGCCCCTCCTCTCCTCCATGATCTGTCTGACTAGGTTCTAGCACCTCAAGTAAAGAATAAGTAAAGAAAGTTTTTGTTCTGTAAATCTTACTGTCACATGAAAGAAATTCTCCTTGTAGTCAGGCACTTGGGTGGCAGAGGCAGGTGGATCTCTGTGAGTTCGAGGCCAGCCGAGGCCGCACAGGGAAACTCTGTCTCAGAAAACAAAAACAAAAAGCAAAGAAAAAGAAAGAAAGAAAAAGAAAAAGCCCCTTTTCCTATTATCTAATACATAAAGTAAGATTTGAAAACAGAAGAGACTTACTTTCATTTTTAATATTTTAGCATATCATTTACCTATTTTCCCAACTGTTTTTGATTTAATATTATATTGTAATTTTCTAAACCATAAGTATTTTTATTTTTCTTATTATTGAAGATATATATTTATTTGAGGCAACTTTTTGGGGATGAAACTTAGTATATACAACAAGCAAGCATTCTACCATCAAGCTATATTGCCAAACCTTGGCTTTTGAGACAGAACCTCAATATATAACTCAGGCTAGCCTTGAGCTCACTATATAACTCAGGCTAGCCTCAAACTTACAATCTTCCTTTCATTTTTTTTTCTGACAGGTATGAGCCACCATGCCCGGCACTCAATGATTCTGAATAAACAATTTTATTATTTCTAGTGGTTTTTCTAAGTGTATAAATATTTTGCTAAGTGTATAAATATTCCTTGGACTTCCCACAGGGCAGGGAACCCTGACTGCTCTTCAGGCTGATGAGGGAGGGGGACTTGATTGGGGGAGGGGGAAGGAAATGGGAGGCGGTGGCAGGGAGGAGACAGAAATCTTTAATAAATAAAAAAATAAAATAAAAATATAAATATTCATATATATAAATACATGTATATATAGTGTCTCTTTTATTTTTAGACTTATTTTATGTATATGCATGTTTTGCCTGCATGTATGTCTGAGTACCATGTGTACAGTGCTCATACCTTGAATACAATATGTAGCTGAAGCTGTCCTTGAATTCTTTATCCTCCTGCCTCCACCTCCCTAGTGCTAGAATTAGAAGCATGAGCCACCACATTCGACACTTATTCTTAATTGTCTAAATGCTTTTACAGACCTTGAAACCAGGTCACAGGATGGAGCTCAGTTGGTAGAGTGTTTGTCTAGCATGTACAGAGCCCTGGGTTCGATCCCTAGTACCACATAAATTGGGCATGCTAACATAAATCTATACTCTCAGCACAGAGGAGGTGGAGGCAGGAAGATCCACAGTTCAGGTATTCATCCTCAGCTACACAGGGAGTTTGAGGCAAGATTGTTTTTTAGAGACCTTGTCTCAAAATTTTTAAATAAACTGGCCTGTAGTGGCGCACACCTTATTCCCAGCACTTGGGAGACAGAGGCAGGTGGATCTCTGTGAGTTGAGGCCAGTCTGGTCTACTGATCTACAAAGTGAGTTCCAGGATTGTCAGGGCTACACACAGAGAAGCTCTGTCTTGAAAAATCTAAAAAAAAATTAAATAAAATTAAACCATAAAACAGGGTTAAATATACCAAATAATTGTTTTAAGTACATTATAGGATATCTTTATTAAAATAGTGAATTACACTGACTGGGTTTGGAATGACAAAACAGCTTGGAGCTCCTAGTATTTATAGCAAAAGCCAAACTTGGTTGTGATATTCTAATATTTGACTATTTTGTTTATTTTTATATAAATGTATCAATAAGATCAGCCCTTAATTGTCCTTCTCCATATTCTTGTTAGGTTTAAGCCCAAAGGTTAGGTTGACCTCCTAAAATACTCTGTCCCTGTTCTGTAGAAAAAGGGATCAAATTACTTTCTTGTTTTCTTAAATGCCTGCCACCATGCTGAATGAAGCTGTTATAGAAACTTTCAAATTTTCTGATTCAGTTTCTTTAACAGTTACAGTCATTAAGCTTTTTGGTTTATTTCTGTCTCTGTTTAGAATGTGTGTGTGGATGTATTTATTTTAGGACTGTGTCCATTTGATGTCAAGTTCTAATACATTGCTAGATAAATTTTCATAATGTATCTAATGATCTTAATGATTATAAATTTCATAATAGCATCTCTTTCTATCTTACTCTTGGTTATTTGTACTTGAATATGTATTCTCTAATTTGTGTACTAGCTTGCTCCTCTCTCTCTCTCTCTCTCTCTCTCTCTCTTTTATCAAGTTTACCAGTTTCTTCAAAGAACTATTTTCTGATTAGTTCATAACAGTTTCATCTTTTAAAATAGATACATTCGAAGTGACCAATGTTTCTGTAATTTGTATTCTGTAAACTTTACACGTGAATTTCCATTATCATTCAGCTTGAGTATTTTAATTTCTACTATGATTTCTTCTTTGATCTAAGGACTACTCAGAAGTACATTTCTCATTTCCAAAAGTGTCTGTGTGTGCGCGCGCACATGTGTGTGCGCGCGCACATGTGTGTGTGTTTGCTGTATATCACAGGCTAGTATCAAAATAATGATTCCATTGCCTCTGCCTCGAGTGCTGACTGGGATTACAGGAGTGTGCCACCAAAAGAAATTTTTATGTTTAGATTATATAGAGCTGTAGCACTTGTCAGGGCATTTTCTTTGGTCTGTCTCTTTAGTTACTAAAGGAGGAATATTAAAGTCTCCCACTATGATGGCAAATTTTTCTATTTCTGCTCATTGCTCTGTCAGTTTAGTTTCACATTATTTTGAGGTTATATCAGTAGGAACACAAACATGCAGAACAAATTCAAGTGGCAAATTAAGTGTTTGCTATCATGAAGTGTCCCTTTTCATGTCTAGTAACATATATTTCCTCAGAATCTACTTTCCGTACTAGTAACAGAGTAGTTCCAGCTGTGTTTCTGTTAATGTTTTCATGCTATTTTTCTAAATATAACTTTCAATCTTTGTTTATATGATCCACTATCTACTGGCTTTTTTCTCAGTTGCTGATTAGTCTCTATCAGTCTAACTGCTGTGTCTTTTTAGCAATCTGTGTTTCCTCTCTGCTTGCATTTGAATGCCCTCTTCCCTATTGGTGCGCTGCATCTTCATTACAAGTGAATCGGAGGGCGGATTTAATTTTATTTATCCTGTTTGAGAATCATTGTTCCTCTTGATTTCTAGGACTCTGTCACGGGTCTGGAGGCATTATCGTGTTAAATATAGTCTGCCTCCCTTACACTCTCTCTGGTCTTTCTTCCTTGTATCCTGATAAACGATAGACTTAGATCCTGACTATATGTTTTGTTCATTTTTGCTGTCCATAATAATTTTTTGAGATGGGGTGTGAGTGACTATGTAGCTCAGGCTATCCTTGGGGGTTACTATAAGTTTAGGCTGGCTTTGGAAGTTCCTAGCTCTCAATCTAATTCTTGATGCTAACCTTCTCTTAAACACATTCATTATGAACACTCTCTCACTCTCTGGGGTTTTGTTTTTGGCTTGAGGCCAGGACTCATGTAGCCCAGCTGGCCTCAAATTCTTGACTTCCTACCACCACCTGCCAACTGCTGGCATTACAGGTAAGCAGCACCAGCGCTGTTTCCTCTTTATTTTAATAAACATAGTGCTATAAGTATTTGATACTTCTTCAAACCATATCATAGTTCAGATCTTTCAAGCACATATCCGCGGTTCTCATCCATGCCTTTCTTAGGTATTTTCTATTTTGTATTTGACAATTCCCACAGCTGGTTTCCTTGGGAGAAACTAGCTCTGTTATTTGCTGGGTTTTGTTCTTGTCATTGTTTGTCTCTCTGTCATCGCAGCTCACCTCATTTATTCAGTAGTCAGGCCTTAATTGCAAGCGCACACTAATTGATGCTAACCTCTGAATACACCAGTGGCTACAATTAAGGATGTTCTCTTCAAAGAGGCAGTTGGGGACATTTTTTAGTCACTTTGAAGGCACACAAATCCGAAATTCATTTTTTTCTCTCTTTCTACCGTGCTAGAATCTCATGTCAGGATGGTTGCTAGAGCAACATTAGCCTTCATGCCAAGACAGTCTAGCCTTCGGTGCTTAATTGCTGCTTCATGATTCCACACATGATTCAAATCATCTTTTTGTTATGACTGTACTTTTTAAAGACAGAATCTCTCCGTGTAGCCCAAGCTGACCGCATACTCATCATTCTCCTGCCTCAGCCTCAGTCTGGGGATTTCAGGCATGTGCCTCTATACCAAGCTCAAATAATTGTCCAAAAGAATGGCAGTCATGGGACTAAGATACTGGGAAGCTGACAAACATATTATGATTCTGCCTCCTCCAGAAGAGAAGTCTAATTCAGGGCTGTTCGTTTCTTAAATTCGAAGAAGCTTACTGAAAAGGAGATACATTCTGATTTTTTTTAGTGAATGGATTCTTTATTTTCTACCGTTCCTTTCTAGCAACAAAGAAGAACTAAAATCCCATTGAAGAAAACCTGCTCTGTATATAGCCAGAATGTTAAGAAATGATAAATAAGTTATTACCTGTTCTCCCATAGTCACGGAGCTGGAAAGCACTGATGAGATCAGTTTTTCGTGAAATCATTCTTTCTTTCAATATCTTGAAGGCACTGCATTCCAGAGCACTTACCCTATGTTAAGAAAACAGCATTTCAGTGAAACTTAAATAAATCATTAGCTTCTACTTAATTTTAATGTGCTATGTTACCACATACCAGTTTCTACATTAAATAAATTGTCTGCTTATACATACTATATTGCTAGATAGTAAATGTAGTATATTCGTGTATATATTTGGAAGATGTGTTAAACATTTGAAAAATTATTAGTAGTAGTAGTATTAGTATATTGTTCCTTTTTCATTTCTTAGACATTTTATGTTTTGTATTTGACAACTTGATATGGTGAAGGGGTTGTGCACAGTATATGTGAGCAGATCAGAAGACAATTTTGTGGAGCTGGCTCTTCCCTTATACCTTTATGTATGTTCCAGGACTCAAACACAAGGCACTAACTAGGCTTGCACAGGAGGTGCTTTTACCTGCTGAGCCATCTTGATGACCTGAAAATTCTTTTTTAAACAGAGTTTAAACTAGCCTACAATCCAAAGTCCTCCTGCCTCTGACTCCTGTGCGCTGAGATTACATGCATACACCTTCATGCTCAGCCATTTTGTTAATTTTTTTTATTTTGTATTTCATTTATGATCCAGTTTCACATTCTCACAGGGTCAGCAATTATAACAGCCACAAGAAATGCTTTCTTGTTTTTTTTTTTTTAAGATTATAGATAGAGTTTTCTGGAATTTGAGAGATTCATGTGAATGTTGAATAATTATTTGATAAAAGGAACCAAAAATTTTTTAATTGTTTTTCTTGATTTTATTGAGCTATATATTTCTCTCTACTCCCCTCCCTTCCTCCCCCTTCTACCCTCTCCCATAGTTCCCATGCTCCCAATTTACTCAGGAGATCTTGTCTTTTTCTGCTTCCCATGTAGATTAGATCCACGGAGATACCAAAATTTACCATTACATTAGTGCCGTGGAATAATCTTTTTGTACATTGAGAATATTTGTTGATCTCATTTGTCTAATAAAGGGCTGAATGGTCAATAGCTGGGCAGGTAGAAGTTAAGAGGAACTTGCAAACAAAAAAGAGCATGGGAAAGAAGGAGGGTTGAGTTGCCAGGAGACAAGGAGAGAAGCAAGATGAACATGCCATGATAAATAAAAAATGTACTGCCACATGGTAGAGCATAGATAAGAAATATGGGTTAATTTAAGTTGTAAGAGCTAGCTAGCAACAAGCCTGAGCTATTGGTTGAGCATTTATAATTAATATTAAGTCTCTGTGCATTTATTGGGAAACTGGCAGTCCTGACAGAAAAACTCTGCCATTCTGACTGTGATAAAAGAAAATATGTACACGAGTAGAACATAACAGGAACTTCAAAAAATAGATCCAACTATTATAAAAACACATATGGCAACAGAGGTAGAACAATTTAGTAGAAAAGACAATCCTTTGATCAATGCTAGAACACGTAGTTAACTACCTCAACATAAACTTCTACCCTCAATTATTTATAAAAAATGAGTTTGAAGGAGGAACGGAAGAACAAAAGAGTCCTGAGATACAGACATCTTCTGTGTTCACAGAGTGTAGAATCTAGGATACAAAAGATTTTAAAAATCTAAGGCTTGGTGTGTGGAGGGAATGGGAGGAGGAGAGGGAGTGGGAATTTGGACTGGCCTTTTTTTAAAAAAAAATCTAATAGCAGGGCGGTGGTGGCACACGCCTTTAATCCCAGCACTGGGAGGCAGAGGCAGGCGGATCTCTGTGAGTTCGAGACCAGCCTGGTCTACAGAGCTAGTTCCAGGACAGGCTCCAAAGCCACAGAGAAACCCTGTCTAGAAAAACCAAAAAAAAATCTAATAAATTAAAATAATATAAAACAAGAATAAAAGAGAAATGAAAAAAAATCTAGAGCTTTTCTCCAGGTTACAAAGAGAAACCCTGACTCAAACAAACAAACAAACAAAATGATAGATTTTCAGAAACTGAATGATCCTAATTTTGTCATGTGGTCATGCTGGCTGGGTTTATCATTTAGGTATTATGAAGAAAGTGATCTGGTTTCATTGTGACTTTTGTTCTTAGGGAAGCAAAGGAGACTCCCCATGTTTTGATAATTGCACTTCTTTCCTAACTTACAGGCACGTTGAGGGGCTCCACTCCCAGTTCCTGGGTCACAGTGAACTAACCCCTAAGTTGAAGCACTGGAATCTGTCATTTGCAAACAATGCTGATACCATTTAGAAAGATGTGCACCACCTAAATTCTGTCTCTTAAGAAAAGCTATCCACCTATGTATGGAAAGTCCCCTTGACACAACAGTTCTGGTTTGATAGTCATTTGTTTAAGCATGTATGCAAGGTGGATTCTGGCTGAGCCAAAATTGCACTGTGGATATGTATCTGTGTTTACATATGATTAGACAGAAGGCACTGTACATAGGAGTGTTGCTCTCAATCAATATTTACAAAACACGCAAACTTCTGTATCTGGAAACCATCATGCAGGTTCTTGTTGCTATGTGTCACATAAAAAATTCTAAGGCTTCTCAATTTCCTTACATAAACTGATACCATATTTACATATAATTGATATACAACTTCTTATATACCTTAATTTATAGAGTGTGTATAATTCCATTTAATATAAATAGTTGGTGTATTATATTATTTGGGGATATGATAACAAAAATGTCTGTACATTTATAGAACTGACTTTTTTAAAAAAATGTTTTCAATGTGGAACCCACTAATACAATGTGTAGGCTATGTATCAAAAAGATAAAATGACAGATGAAAATATGAATAATAACAGCATATGTAAGTAAATTAAGTAAATAATTAAAAAGACAGGGATTATGAGACTCAAATGAGGCTTCAAAATGAAGACTGTCATGCTAATAGGAGACAAAGTAGACATTAGATGAAAAGGGTAACTAGAAACTATAACTAAAATCTAGAGGTAAGGGAGGGGGCAATTCTTAATGATAGAAGATAATGAACCTAACAGCAAAACCAATAACTACATGAAGCACAAACTAAAAGAATTAAAGAAACAGATAACTCAACAACAAAGGCTCGAAACTTCAATGGCAAAGCTGCTCTTAGTCACTCAGGTCTGGTTCTACTCTGTCACAAATATAGTCCTTAGTATTTTTAGGGCTATCTACCTTTGGTGAAGCGGGCTCAGGCATGATGAACTAGTTACTTGGTACTGGAAAAATTGTGGAGTTGTACCATAACTTAGTCTGATGTAAGCTCCTCGGTTGCTGCCTTCTTCGTAATAATTAGAAGCAGAAAATAAAGTAATGACCTGATTAAAGGAAAAAGAGGATCAAGTTCATTAAGTTAATTCTCAAAAGGTCATTCAATATAAGCCAGAAATAGCTCAATTCTCAAAAAAAAAACCACCTCATAATCTGCAAATTATCTGGGTCTGGCATGATTTCATATGATTCCCTTGAAGGAAAATCTCCAGTCGGTGTCTCCATTACTAACTCCTAGCTTTTCGTCCAGTGCCCCAGATATGGCCCTGAATTCCTACCCATTAATCTAGTGCCAGATCTTAGAATTATGTTGTTTCACAAATTCTAATTTTCAACAGAGATAAATTCCATATTTTCTTACCTCGTGATATCTGTGGGCTCAAAATAAAATTTGGTTAGAAGCTCATACTTTTTCTTTTGCACAAAGCTGAGTGATTTAGAAGGTTCAGAGCTGGACGGATTCAATGTTTTAAGAGCAGAGACATAACAGGACTGTGGCCAGTACCTTAGGAAGAAGTCAGCCTGGGAGGTATGGTAGGTAGATTATAGAAAGATAATACTTGCTGGTGACGGGAAACTGGGTTTAATCCAGTTCTGGTCTAATAAGGATGCCACTTCAGATGAACCACGGCTATTTTCTAATTACATTCTAAATAATACTTTGCTTCTTTATCTTGCAGTGTTAGTATGAGCCAAAACTGAATTAATAGAGTTAAGAAATCAGAGTAGAAGGAAATGCCATAGGATTCCATATTCATCGTTCCTTGCTTCTATTCACGATAAAGAAAAACAAAAAGAACCATCCTAGGACACCTGAGGGTAAGGACCAGTTTCTTAGTCCTCTTCTAGCATTATTGACATACTCGGAGAACAAGACACTCCATTTTGATGGCAGAAGTTAAACTGACCACAGTAAGCAACTCGCTAGTGACCACCTCCTCAATGAGCTGAAAGAAGTGTGCTGTGTGTTTTCTGTCCTATACAGGGAATGTGCAAAAGAAGAGAGAAAACGGGATTGGATATGCTTTGTAAGGAGAAGTGTGGTCTGTGGGAATTGCACTGTGTATTGTGAGAACTGGCTTACAATTAGTAAAAAATGAAGTGTGTGTGCATCTGTGTGTTAGAGAGAGAGAGAGAGAGAGAGAGAGAGAGAGAGAGAGAGAGAGAGAGAGAGAGAGAGAGAGATAGGGGGTGGAGAGAGAGCAAGAATACTTGGTGTCACTGTTATGGTTTAAAGTGATATATTTGGGTACTGAGTTGGAAAGAGGTACAATTGTGATATACACTTGTGATGGTTCATTTCATCTGTCAACTAGATCACATTCCTGAGCAGAGCACAGTTCTGGGTGTGTCTCTGAGGACATTTCCAGAAAGGATTAATTGAGGGAGGAAGATTTTCCCTGAATGTGGATGACGCCACCACTTAGTATGGGGTCCTGGACAGAACTAAAAGGGGATGAGGGGGAAAAGGAAGACTCATGCCTTTAATCCCAGCACTCGGGAGGCAGAGGCAGGCAGATATCTGTGAGTTTAAGGCCAGCCTGGTCTACAGAACAGGTTCCAGGACAGCCAGGGCTTCATAGAGAAACCCTGTCTCAAAAAAAAGGTGTAAGGAGAATGTCAGCTGAGCATCAACATCTCTCTCTACTTCCTGGTCACCTGAGATGTGACAAGTGGCCTGCCACCATGTCTTCTCCATCATGTGAATATATATACTCTCGAACTGTGAGGCAAAATAAAGCCTTCCTTAAGCTGCTTCTCGTCACTTGGTTATAACACTGACAAGAGTAATTACTACATTCACACATCAGAATTTCTGCTTCTGGCAGTAATAAAGATAGAAGTAGTGAAGACATTGCTTGGCCTTTTAGGTATGACAACACAGTGTGGAGAAGACCAGGCTGTGGCAAGGATGGCTATGAGGATTTCGGTCATGATGCCAGCTCACCTTCCCATCGTGACAGATTTCATACCCCTCGGGTTTACACTCATGAGACCTAATGAGCATCTTCAACTGGTTTTTATTAAGAATCTTGGAAGTAACGTCTGGTCCAAAATAGCAGCCCCCTCCTCGGCTTGTATTTGGATAACAGCCTTTTCTGCCTCTGGGGTCACTCCACAGAAGGTCAATAATCTTGGAACAATAAAATAAATTAGGGTTATACTTACAAGTAACAGTCTATCATCTTTTTTCTATCCCATATTATTTAGCAGAAATATTAAAGGTAACTGGTGTTACAGGCATGAACCACCATGCCTGGCTAAATTCAGAAGAGAAAGTAGCGCCTTCCAATGAACACGTATTAAGTGTTCTTAACACTGACTCAGGTTTTTGACCTGTTGTACTCCTTAAGGAAACCTAATAAGTGTTTATTGAAAGGAACTACTTTCTCTTCTGAATTTAGCTGGGCATGGTTGTTCGTGTTTCCCCAAGAACATCCCCTAAAGCTTCTTTGATCTTTGGCCTCCATAAGACCATTTTCCAATTCAGCTGTAGGTTCACCTATTGACTGGATTCCAGAAGGTGTTCTAAACCCACAATGATTTTTTTTCAGCTTAATATTTCCTTTGGTGGCTTGAAGAAGCAAATGCAGGTCACACAATACCCAGGACTGAAGACTCAAATTTCTAAGAACGTTTTCACAGAAAAATCAGAGGTTGTAGAGTCTCTAATCTGTATTTAATATTTGACTCAATTTTTAAAACTACTACTGTAACACAAACTTAAGAAAGAGTGGTTTAAAAAAAAACCTGCAAACCTCTTTATCACTAAAGAGTGACAACCTTGAGAAATCTGTCTATCCTTCAATCAGGCATTTGGGTCAACTAACCTGCAAAGTATGTCAGGGTTCTAATAGACAATTATTCTAAAAGTCTACTAGTTTCCATAGTTTTCTCTGTTGTTCCTACGTGTGCAGAGAATTGAATCCAGGGACTCATGTAGGCTAGGCCAATATAATCCTTCTGAGCTACACCCCAGCCTCTCCACATCTGCATGTTTCTTTGGAGAAAAAACACACAACTGAAATTTTTATGTGTGTAGAAGCCAGGTCTACATCAGGTGTCTTCCTCAACTACTCTCCTCTCTCACTAAACCCATAGCTTAACAATTTAGTTAGACTGACTGGCCAACCAGCCCCAGAGATCCACCTGCCTTTGCCTCCCCAGTGCTGGGATTACAGTTGGGTGCTGCCACAACCAATTTTTTTTTTATGTCACTGCTGGGGATGTGAAGTTGGGACCTCATGGTTACACACCAAGCTGAGCCATCTTGTGAAGTCCCTTCAATAGAAAATCTCTAGTGATTCTAGTAAGTCTAAAGCAGGTCTTGAGAAGAGGTTCAGATACTGATACTGCCCTAAACTGGACTCTGCAGTCATTTCTAGGTTTGATATAAAGGGAGACGTGGAGATAAATGAGAGAAGACAGAGGGGCAGAGAGAAGAGCAGAAGGATCAGTACCTGCTCAGCACCAGAGCCACTCTGTACCGGGCTCAGCTCAGACAGCGAGTATTTGATGACCAGTTGAGGTGAGAATTAAAATCTCCCAAAGAAGAATCACCCCAAGGGCTTCCTTCCTTCTCACTGAATTCCAATATTGGCACAATTGTACCCTACACACACATAAATACAATGTAACACCTTTAAGTTCTGGTTCTTATGACAAAACAACACTTGTATTTCAAACGGAATCATATCTGGTTCCTGTAGAATGAATTCGCATTTTGTGTGTGTGACTTGACTTGTAGTATAATAAAGGAGGAAACATGGACGATAAGGGGCCATATTTTATTAGGAAAGGATTAAGCTTTCAATTCCTACATGAATATAGAGTTTAAAGGTAAAATTTCATCTGGAAAGCATCCTAACTTACCCTTGAAGTACAGCATACATTATTTTAGGTACGTAACCCTATATAGGAATATATATATGAAAATATTTCATGTATATGATAATATGATAACGGATGAGCAGTCCATTATAAAGTATATGAAAGTAAATTCTCACGGAATCTTTCTTTTTCCTTTTTACCACTACTATGAATACTCAAAATTTACATAAAGTAAATGTACATATGAGGGGAACATGATGGCACATGCTTGAGGGAGGCAGAGGCAGAAGGATTACAAATTCCAGGCCACCTGGGCTATGCATCAAGTCCCTGTCTCAAAAAAAAAACCTAAAGACTAGCATATATAGTGTATTATTAGAGTGCTTTCCTAGCCTACACAAAGCTTGTGTTCAATCTCTAGCACTATAAAAAAAATACAAATAACATTGCATGGACTAAATAGGATTTATGCATTATTTAGGTCATAGATAAGATAAATATAGATACATGCAATGACAATTAAAGCAGTGGTTCTCAACCTGGGGGTCATGACTCCTTTGGAGGGTTGAAGAACACTTTCACAGAGGTCTCTTAAGACCATTGGGAAGCACAGGTATATACATTATGGTTCATAACAACGGCAAAAATTTACGAAGTAAAAGCAAATTATGGAAGTAGCAATGAAAATAATTTTATGGTTGGGGATTAGCAACCCATGAGGAACTATAGTAACGGGTTACAGTAGTAGGAAGGTTGAGCACCACTGAATTAAAGGAAACCAGGCCATGAATTTAAATGAAAGTTATGACTCCATGGGAGGAGTTTGAGGGAAGAAAGGGAAGGGGAGATGATGTTATTATAATCTTTAAAAATTAAATCATTTTAAACTACATATTGCTGGAACTCCATCGAGGCAGGATAAGTGCCAGTCCAATGGCTTCGTAGGTAATTATTTAGGTTACCATAGGTGAATGTCTTTACTGTTTGACTGTTGTTGTTACCAACAAACAAAGAAGTATCTAGTATTCTTTTTTAATATACTTAAAATCACAAGGGCTGTTTTAAGAAATGAGTTTCTCTCTCAGAATGAATTCCATGAGTTCTAGATTTCTTTTTTGAGTCTAGAAATAAACTTGGTTAGATGCACAATATAGAGATGGATTCAGAGAAGATGATCGATCCATCGTGCCTACAGAGGTGAAGTCACTTTAACCTGCATTTCATACGGGACAATATCATCACAAACTGCTGTTACCACTCTGGTGAATGTTTCGGTTACCTACTTGTTCCCATTCATGCTTTGTTAGGTCCGTAGAGGATTCAGCCTTCCCAGGAGCACAAGTGCTCAAACCTGATCTACTTCTTTTTAAGTCGGCGGAATGGTCTCGATTTATTGACATCGGTGGCATCAGCACAGATCTCATCTGTAAAACATAGACTCATGCTTTAGTTAAATGCCATTTGTGGGCACTTCAGCTATGGTTGGAAATCTGTCTGTACTGTGTGCAGTCAACTCGAGGGAAAAAATGCAGCGCCCCCCCCTTCATCTCACTCACCTCATATGCATTTTTAATTTACTAATGTCTCTAAGGTGGGCCGATTAAAATAGTTTCTGTGTTTTGCAACTAAAGATGTTACTTTATGGAGAAAGCTTCGCATCAGAAATTCTAAGAGAGCCCAGAGGCCCGCGTGTAGGTGCTAGACATATTGCATGGTACTGTCGAAGGAAATCGAAGATGCGAAATGTAGGAGGGTCCGGCCCCCTTCTGCACCTTTCTCTACACCTGGGGCTTTCAGGAGTTCGGAAACAGATATTTTGTTTGTTTGTTTTTTGAGACAAGGTTTCATTGGAACTCACTGCCCTGGAACTCACTCTGCAGACCAGGCTGGTCTCAAACTCACAGAAATCCACCTGCCTCTCCCTCCTGAGTGCTGGAATTAAAGGTGTGTGCTACCATTGCCTGGCTCAGAAACATCTTTCAAAAGGGGGTATACATTTGATTTGCTTGCTGTATTTTCCCAGATAAACGAGTGGGAAAAAAACCCACATCCATGTCCATGAGAGTTCTCCCAGGGAACACAGGTTGAAAACCTGAAAGTTCTTCAACCTAAATTCAGTATAGCTCTTAGCCAGACCTGTCAGCAACTGATCATGTTGTCTAAGCCTAGTTATAAACCTGTTTCTTTGCAAAGGAAAGCTGGGCAATGGTGGCACATGCCTTTAATCACAGCACTAGGGAGGCAAAGGCAGGCAGATCTCTTGAGAGTTTGAGGTCAACCTGGTCTACAAAGTGAATTTCAGGGCAATTCAGGCCACACAGAAAAAAACCCTGTCTTGGAAAACAAAAAAAAGAAAAAAAAGAAAGAAAAAAGAAAATGGTTTAAAAATACAACATGATAAGCCCACTTGATTGCCTTATATAATCTGAGATTGGAATTCTGTTCTTGTCTCTTCTAAGCATTATACTTTCATTCAAAGCAATTAAAAGGTTTTACACTTATTTATTTATTTGTGTGTGTGTGTGTGCACGCACGCGCGCCACACTCCACAGCACGTAATGGAGGTCAGAAAACAACTTTTACCAAGTAAATTCCAGGGACTGAGCTCAGGTTGTTAGGCTTGGGGACAAACATCTTCACCTGCAGAGCTGTTTCCATTTAATTGGCCCACAGATGCTTTTTATAATACTTTAATTAAACTTTAAATAATACTTCTGTTACACTGGTGGCTGTAGTTTAGTGATGGACATCTCTGTGGGCGCCAAATGCGGCGGTTGGATTAATGAGCACCAATGATAATAGATATTTGAACAAGTTTAATAACAAAACCAGACTCACGAAACCAAGGTTCCAGCGGAGTACCCGGTGGAGACAGGAAGGGGCGCACAGCCTCTGCCCGCCCAATTTATCAGTAAACATACGCCCGAGGGCAGCCCGCCCCCAAGGGGAGGGCTTATCCCTACAGTTCATAGCCTACATTTTCTTCCCCAAGTAAATGGTCTTAGGTCTTAGGCAGAACAGAATATTCTGGGAAGACCTTCCAGGATTACGTCCACATAATTTATTTCTGATAAGCTCGTTAGGCATGGCCTCATGGCCACTTTAGAACACGGAGCTCTGTAGTTTTCAAAGCTCTTTAGGATCAGGCTGCTTTCCCCACACCACCATAGGCACCATTTTCTCCTGGGAGTCCTATGAACCATCCTTCTCTATACTCCTGCTTGGGAAGTTGAACACTACGAAACCAGAGCCTTTGTCTTATAGAATCTTACTTTGACATCTTGAGGCCTTGCTTGTGGTGAGGACTGCCCTCCTCGGGGCATCACCATAGACCAGGGAAAGAAGTTCTAAGAAAATTCCTATCCATTTTTACTTTGCCCTGCTTTGGTCTTAATTTCTAAAGAAGTATTCAACAAATAAGACATACTTATTACATCTCAGGTACTGGGGTTTTGGCAGGGATTAGAGAAGCATAAGAATATAGTAAGAAAATAGCATTACCATTCCTTACTTAAATTTGGCAACTTACGAAAGCTATGCATAAAGGTCTTGAGAGTGCATAAAGAGGAGCTATCTAGCCTAGAGGTTAAAGTGGAAAGTTAATGAGAAGTTGGCAATATTATCATTCACATGCGTATAAAAGTATGGAGGCTCCCACACCTCGAGGTGCAACTGCCATCACATTTCTGTCCCCATCAGTCTCAGACCCCACCTTCCCAGAATGACTGGCTAGTTACTATTGGTCTGTAAAGACAGCGGCTCAAGTTTCCCACTTGGACCATATAGCACCCTCTGTTCTATAGCTGCTGCTGGTCTTCATGCCCACCTGGCCCCTTGTTTACTTCTAGGCTTGGGGCTTCAGCTTACCTTTGGTAAAGGAGGAAAATAGCTCTCGTTGTGTGTAAGGTACAGCCCAGCAACCCTTTAGTAGGTGTAGAATCCTATAGCTACCATAGAGCCAGTTCCCTGAGAGGGTCTATACAGGCTCCTGTCCTGGCTGTGACGTCCTGAGTGATTATGTAGAGTTAAAATAATCTGAAGATAGTTCCTCTGCTCAGTTGAAATAAAGGGACAGGATAGTAATTTAGAAATAAATTCTATATGAGACTCCTTATATGAGTTACCTAGAGCTCATACAAGAAATATTGGTCATCGGGGCTAGAAGGAGAGGGAAGGAGCTGTGGCTGTTTTATGGGTTTCAGTCAAGGAAGCTCTGTTAATGGATGGTGGTCACAGCGGTGGCAGTAGAATAATAGGAAGTGCCAAGGAAGTTTATACTTACTCACAAGACAACAGTGCTGAATTACAGTGTAAGTGAATTCATGTAAACGCTACTTCTGAAACCTCACCTTTAGAAGCTATCTGATGTGCTAATGCATGCCGGCTTTCCCTTTCCGACAGGATTCCCTGTTGAAAATGCATGGTACACAGAAAAACCACCTAGTTGTCCTGCATGCAGTTATAGCTTTTTTTTCCCGACTTTTACTAATTGTCTCATCTACACCACCAAAGCCCAGAACTCTTTAAAATGACGGATAAAAAGAAGCATATTCCATTATAAATGTCGGATCCGTGCACATAGTACTTCTTACTTTATTTCTTTGTATGTGGTGGAGTGTACTCAAGTCTGTGGACTCTGATATCCCACCATGTATGACCAGGATTTCATCGTCAATAATCGTGCCAATTGGGAGCCAGGTATAGACTTCTTCCAGGACTTGCAAGATTTTTCTTCCATGTAGCTGTAATAAGAGCCTGAGTCAGTTTTTAGTTTCCTGATATGTCCAGGTAAGTGAATAGTCTCCATATGTAGACAAAACCCAAGTTTTCCATACCAACCAAAGGAAACAGTCAGGGAGCTATCAACCAGCTAGCGAGTATTTAGCATGGGACGTTTCCATCCTGTATTGTTGATACTTTTGACATTTTTGGGTCTTCCTCGGGGAGGAGACTGCCCCTGTCAGAGCTAATCCCTAGAGATCCTACATGACGGTTCTCATGTACAAACCAGCCATTTCAGAATCCACACTAAGGAATTCTTTTCCTGGACTCTAACTCAGGGCCCCTTCTCTGGTGTGCTAACCAATCAACCCAGAGCAAGATAGTAGACAACTACCGACGATGACCGTCATGCCCCACAGCTGGCTGCCATTGTGCAAACAACTCAGCTTTCAACACTGAGGGGCTTTGCCCTCTCTCTCCCATGAAACCTAACAAATGTTCTCATCTGTACTTTCTTCTGGCTCCATCTGCCTGCCTCTCTCTCTCTCTCTCTCTGTGTGTGTGTTTGTCTTTCTTTCTCTGTCTCTCTGTCTCTGTCTCTCTCTGTCTTTCTCTGTCTCTCTCTGTCTCTGTCTTTCTCTGTCTCTCTGTCTCTGTCTCTCTCTCTGACTCTGGTAGTTCCCTATGTGGTATCCCCAATGTGGGATGCTATGCCTCCTGCATGTATAAAACCCCTCCACTATATTGGTAATTTCTCTGTCTGCCTGCCTGAATTAAATATCAAGGATGGGTACCTTTGAAGCAATGCAATATATTCATAGCTATGCTGAAACTGATCCAACAGTCATAATGAAAAAGAAAATCTAAGATTCTACCACGGTGAGGGGTTCCTGCTGTGCTTATTATTTTATTGGCACAGATTCTAACTCATTAGCCCATCACCTTTCTTAAAGCAACAATCTGGTCTTCTTTAGCTCCTTTTTTCACAGAAAAACAAGTATGAGTCTTACCTTGTACTTATGTAAAATTTCTTTTGTGAATCCATACCTGAAAAACATATTTTAAACTATTAATTATTGCTAAGAGGAGAGTCATTGATGTCTCACTATTACCAAATAGTAGGAACTCAAGAAACTAAAGACTTCAGTGGTACTTATCAGAGTCTCTCTGGAGCATTGTGAGAAAGAACAAAAGCAATCAATAGCACAACCTCTATTTTCAAGAAGCCTAGAGTATAACTGGGGAAAGAAAACAGATACTTGTGGAACAATGCAAGACAACTTAACACATGCGTACCATAGCTACGTAAAGGCTACAGGGATTTCGAGAGGCATGCAATGACATTTAGAGAAAGCTGGATGGAGAAGACCTTTCATTTAAAAAACATTGCTACGACATGGATCATGGGAATGAATGGTATTAAGGGTTTTAATAGAAAGTATCAGGAATTTTAATGCCTGGCTAAGAAAAGCTAAGGGAGAGTTTTCAATTCTTTTTTTTTTTTTCTTGCTTTAGGATAGTATTGCGTACCCTTTTCAGGTAGCCCTTTCTCTTTAACACTGGGATTAAAGATATGCAATACCACACCCAGATAATAATGTGTACTCTTCAGAGCCAACAGGTAAAGGAGGAACAGTGCAGACTCCCCACTCGTTTCCCTACAAACCACATCATGTCAGGATTCTCCAGTAGAACACCGCGTTTTTTCAAGATGAATTCCCTCCCCGTACTCACCAAAGACATCACATTGTTAGACCAATATACATCCTGCCATCTGTGGTGCTTTGAATGAGAATGGCCCCCATAGGTTCATATATGTAATGTTTGGTTCCCACTTGGTAGACCGTTTAGGAAGGATTAAGAGGTGTGGCCTTGTTAGAGAAAGTATATCAAGCCAGGCCTCATCTCTCTCTCTCTCTCTCTCTCTCTCTCTCTCTCTCTCTCTCTCTCTCTCTCTCTCTCTCTCTCTCTCTCTCTCTCTCTCTCTGTATGTATGTATGTATGTATTTGTCTTTCTCTGTGGGTGTGGGTGTGTGTCTGTCTCTGTTTCTATCTCTCTGTGTCTGTCTGTTTTTCACTCTCTCTGTGGCTGCCTATCTCTGTTTCTATTTCTCTTCTGTGTCTGTGATTGTCTGTGTCTGTCTGTCTGTATCTCTCCCTCTCTCTCTCTCTCTGCTGCTGCTTGTGGATACTATGTAAGCTATGTATGCTTTCAGCTTCAACTCCAGCACCATGCCTACCAGCTTGCCACCATGCTTCCCACCGTGATGATCATGGACTCACCCTATGAAACTGTAAACAAGCCCCCAATGAAATAGCTTCCTTTATAAGTTGTCCTGGTCATTCTTTGTAGTCATAGCAACAGAGAAGTAACTAAGACAGCATCCTTAACTTTCTGGCCCTTTTTGAAACACTAAATATCATTGTCTGTACCATGCTTCTAGAAAACTTCCTCCCTTTCATTTTTTCATATTCTGTCCTAGGCTATCCATTGCCTTCAATTTCTTCCTTAGTACTCTCACCCCTAGCTAGCTAGGCTTTCAATTGATATCTAGTATTAATAAATACATAGAGCGACACTCCAGGTTATAATTCATTTCTATCTCTGGACCCACACTCAACAATACATCAAATAAATCTACCTCAGACTAAATCCATTCCCATTCAGAATGATGCTGTTATGCCCTTAAACTCAATCTTGCTCATCCTTGATTAATTCCTCAGTTAAGACCTCCCTATCAAGTTCTTGGGTGCTCAACTGCTATTGCCTAAAGTCTAGGTCTATTTTGGCCATCGCCATTGCTATCATGCTAGTCTACATAGGATGCTACCATTTCTTCAACTGAACTCCAAAGAGCCATTCTTGGCCCTCCTCCAAATTACTCTTCTTTTTAAAACAAGTGCAGTATTCTTCAATGATATTCTCTTATCCTTAGATACATGCTCATATACCTTCACAACACTGAACCATCTTTTACATCTCCAATCCTACCAGGCTCAATCATATTTGGGTCTCTATTGCTGTGCTAAAACACCATGATCAAAGGCAACTTGGAGAGGAAAGGGTTTATTTGGGACATGTAAATGTCCCAGTCACAATACATCATGAAGGGATCTCAAGGCAGAAACCCGGACATGGAAGATCCCTGTTGAGTGACTTGCTCCTCATGTTTGCTCGGCCTTTCTTCTTAGAGCACCCAGGAACAGGCTTCCTATAACACCTCTGGATTCTTGTTCTTTAGAGATTCTGCATTTGCAAACTGCACCTCGAGAATTAGAGCTGAAACTCTGCTTGAGTCAGGTGTTGAAACTACCCAGAAGACAAAGGGGATTTGCTGAGCTTTGATCCCAACACCCAAAAGCCTAGGACCCAAAGTGGGAGACATTTCCTAGCCTCCGTTGTTCTAGAACAAATTGATTTCTGTTTGCCATAAAAAGGAAAGAAAAAGAAAGAAGGAAACATTTATTACCTACTGTGCCTTTCAGACAGAATTCACAAGCCATTTAAGCAGTCTTTATCCCTCAAATCTCCAGTGAGTCAGATAGTCCAAATGCTATGTTACAGCTGTTCTCAAAAATGTTTATGAGCAGCTATGCCAGAAGCAATTACCAGGACACCAAAAAAAATGCACGCAGCAATATAAAACACTGTGCTAGCTTCTGAGACAGAATTTGAAGCAAGCCAAAAGAAGCAAGAGAAACTTCCATCTAAGTCTGCTCATACAACCTACCAGACCTACAAACCTGACCTGGCATGCCCACCCAGCGTGCAGTCTGGACTATGAAGGGGAAGTAAGACAGAAAAAAGGACATAGTAAAGAGGAAGCAAAGACGTGACTGGAAGAAGAGGTAGGAGAGCTTCAAAGCAGCTGACACTTAGCTGAAAGATGGGGGTTGGTGAACGAGGGTGAGAACTTGGAGACTCTCCTTGCGATTCATCTTCTCTCTTCTTCTATACAGCTAACTTTACATATATCATCTGGGAAACTAAAGAGAGCAGCCGTTCCAGAGGGAGAATAAAAGATGAAGTCTAAAGTCAGTGTTACCTCAGGTTCATCATGAAGTCTTCATGGTTCCCCCTATTCAGGTGCAGGTCATTGGGGTAGACGAGAAAACTAACGAGCAGGATCATGAGGATCTCCATGGAATTGTTCCCTCGATCTACAAAGTCACCATTGAAAACATACGGATTGTTCTCTGAAGGCAGGCCATTCTGGGAAGGAGAGGGGGCGAAAACAAGGAGTCAAAAGGATGTTCTTTTAAAAGTAGGGCTATGCGTTTGTTCCTGCGGAAACAGAAAAGAGGCCCAGTCATTTCTTTCACTGGGAAGAATCTGCTCACTGGCTAGAGCTTCATCCAGGGCACATATCAACAAGGGACCTGGAACCAAAGAGAAGGCTGGCAACAGGAAGGTTTCAGGGAGGGTGGGGGTTGTTTATTCGACCCATCGCATGAGTTTTCTCTGAAAGGAGCCAGGATTTGTCCAGTCCAAAGGAGATAACCTCGTGGGGGAAGGGAACCTGTGAGAAGAGTATGCCGTATGAAAAAAATCCAATGAACAAGAAAACACATGATGTAACTTCCAAGAAAGTCTTATCCTGCCCTTTTTTCTCTGAAAAGAGGGAAACTTCTACCCAGGGAAAAACACTAAGTTAACAGTTGGAGCACTTTCATTCAAAGGGCCCTATATTTAACTTCCCTGGGTTGTAATTTTCTCAGTTTGCAGAGTGGAGATGACAATATATAACTTGCCAAATCACCTGTGAGAACTCAGGCAAGCCGGGCAGTGGTGGTGTACACCTTTGATCAGGAGGCAGAAACAAGCAGATTTCTGTGAGTTTGAGGTCAACCTGGTCTACAATGGGAGTTCCAAGACAGTCAGAACTCTTACACAGAGAAACCCTGTCTCAAAAACAAAAAACAAACAAACAAAAAAAAAACAAAAAACAAAAAAATAAAACAAAAAAAACCCCAAAAAACCACAAAACCAAAACCAAACCAAAACAAAACAAAAGAGCTCAGGCAACAGGACTGTTTTGTTAGCTATGACTGCGACAGGACTGAATAATAGTGGGCAGATATAACCATACCTGGTGCCGCTACTCAGTATGTGTTCTGATTGGTTGATTTATGACCAGGCCATATCAGATATCAGCCCCTTTGAGTATCACTCCTGAATATGAGATACTATTTTTATTTATTTCTTTATTTTTAAGATTGTACTTATAAAAACAGTATTGGTATGAAAAGAAACTGAGAGCGAGCAGGACAAGCATTAATTTTAAAATAGCTACTAGCTTGTTCAGCTCCTCACTGCAACTCTCAAACAAAACATACATAATACGACATGGTTACATTTTCTCAGTGCCATACTTGATAAGGAAATAGCCAAGTGCATTCCTACTGCACAGCAAGATACAGTCAAATGTTTTGAAATGTATTACAAAGAGGAGAGTCATATCAAATATACACTTTTCTCAGAAATGTTATCTTTGGGAAAGAATACACATATTATAATTATTTTAATGTTTCAAACTATTTTCAAATTCTTCTTTTGTCAGATTTCAAACTAGGTAAGAAAACCTTATTACTTTATTTTAACGCTCTACCATTTATGGGCATTTTAAATCATACATTGCGTTATAATAAGTAATTGAAAACAATACAGGTTATAATACATGACTTAGGGGATTCCAAGAATTATCTTCACAGTATAATGTGTTCTGGAGATAAGTGGGGGAGGGACGCGGTGGCATATTGTAATAAGATGATTAATATCACAGTCCAGTTTCCTGTATAACAGTTATCTTTGAGAAAGCCATCTGACCCTTCCTTCATCTGAAAAATGGAAATGAAAGCCCTCTTTAATTACCATGCAATAATATTTAGGAACTAAGCATTATATGTACAAATAATTCCATGCAAATCACAAACACAAATAGAGTCAGTAATTAGGATCTCCATGCTATTTCTAATTTTAAGAGTGCATTATTTAATATTTTCCTTTGTAAACTTTTTTATTTATTCTTTGTGTCTTGTCTTTCATATCATGCATGCCTCCTGGTTCCCCCATCTCCCTCCCCACCCCTGCCCTGCAGAATGAAACAAAATAAAGTTTAAGAGAAAAAAAAGAAATAAAAGAAGGAAAAGAAAATCTTGTCATAGAAGCTGCATTGTGACCCAGTGAGCCATGCAGTAAACCCCTTTATCCATGCATTTTTACATGGAAGCATTCATCACAAAAGAGCACTGGTCTGGTTCAAGACCCTTGGTCTCTGCTACACCATCAACATTGGGCCCTCACTGGGACTCTTCCTGGACATCCATTGCTTGTCTGTGGCATGGAGGTCCTGCAGCTCTAGGTCCACAGGACTGACCCCCTCAGTCTCATACTCCAGCAGATCACAAATGGAGTGGATGTTGGGGTTGGTCAACACATTACCTTGATTCTGGGCCTGGGCAGTTACAGGGTTGGTCCCCACCAGGGTGAGCTCTCCAGCATTGCTCTGGCTACTTCACCCCCTGCAGTGATGAGCAAGGGGTGTGGCCAGTTCTCCAGCTTTCACATCCTCAGGGTTGGTTCTCTCACACCTACACCTTCAGGGCCAGCTCAACTGTGTGGTCCAGGTGAGGCATCCGGGCCACTCTCCCAGGTGCTGCAGCTGATGAGGGACAGGGACGGTTCTCCTGCTCTTATGACCTCAGGGTCAGTTCTTCACCTGCCTCAGGAGTTGATGGGAGGGGGTGGGGGCATCTCTCCACAGTTCATGCCACCACATGACCGATAAGTAATGGGAGTAATGGGGATTCTCCCATGCTCACAACTTTAGAGCTGGCTTGCCCATACCTCTGCCAACAGGGTTGGCTTTATTGCGCTGCCCAAGCAAAATGTAGGATCCACCTTCCCGAGTGTGCTGGTAAGAGGGGTGTGTGTGGGGGGGGGATCAGCTCTCCTGCTCTTAGGACCTCAGGGCCAGCTTTCCCACCTGCCTCAGGTGTTGATGGGTGGTGGCGGGGGTGGGGGTAGGGGTGGGTTGGGAGGGTGATGAGGGAGTGAGGGGGTGGAGAACATTTTCTTAATGGGGCTCAGATAGGGCACACTGTTACAAAAATATAAGCTATACTCATCAAAACTTACAGAAAGAGAGGAGGATTCGGTATCTCTGATATTTGTCCTTTCCCCAGCCTTCAGCTGGTTAGAATAAGAGCTGTGAGGACTGATAGACTCTGCTGAGATGTACCTTCTCTGGAAGAGGTTAGGGGGAACAGCAGCAGAGAGTGCTGGGGCAAGGACATGGAAGGACTAAGCCTGAGGGGAAAGAAGGAACCCGTGACAAAGGATGACTGTCTCACAGGAAGAGGACGGTCCTGCTTGGGCTTTAGGGAATGTTGGATCTTCCTAGGAAAAGAGTGGGAACTGCTTTCAAGTAACAAAAGTCAAAACAAAGAGCAACTTTATTTCAGAAGAAAATTGTAAGACACGTATGAAGCATAAAAGGTCTCAAAATTCATGGGAAAGGCTGTAGAGATGGCTCAACAGTTAAGAACAAGTATTGACTAATACAAGGACCAACACAACACTGGACAACATACGGAGTGAGACCTTGAAATATGCTGTGCTAAATGGGATGACTTCATCAAAGCCCTTCCCTTAGGAAGTTTGCAGAAGAGGAAGCAAAAATATTCTAAGAGTCAGGGAGGATGGAGGACACCAAGAGAAACAAGGCCTTCTAGATATAACAGGACTAATGTACATATGAACTCGCAGAGACTGTGGCAGCATGAACAGGTACAAGACAGACAGCATGCTAGCAACGGGATGGGGAAGAGGTCATGAGCTCCCATCCCTAACCAAGAAGCTATCCCCAGTTGGCAACCTCTTACAAAGGAAAAACCAGTTTTCTTGAATAAAGTCTCATGGGGTATAGAAACCACACTTAAATATAGGCCCCGGGCCCAGCAGTAGATGGCCAACACAAAGTAAACACAATGGTGGTTTTGTAGATATCTTTTTTTGTCTCATAATGCTTTGGGGGGGGGCAACTTTTACCTTACCTTATTGTCTTTTTTTTCCTTTGCATAGTATGGTTTCCAATGTTGTGCATATGTGTGTATATATATACATACATATATATATATATATATATACTGGAATGTGTGTTGTGTATGTGCTTCTCATGCTTTTTCTTTTTTTCATATTCTAGTCCTTTTTCTTTTTGCCTGTTTGTTTTCTAAGGAGAGAGAGAAAGAAGGCATAGAGTTGGATGGATGAGGAGGTGGGAGTATCAGGCAAATGAAGGAGGGGAAACTATGATCAGAATATAGTGCATGAAAAAATATATCTTCAATAAAAATTAAAGTAAGAAATACTGTTCTAGCAGAGGATCCAAATTCTTGTCCCAGCACTACATCCAGTGGCTCACTTGCAGCTCCAGCTGCAAGGAGATATGATTGATGTCTCTGGCCTCCAAGGGCACCTGATTTCAACTACATAAACACACACACACTCACACACACACAATGTAAGTAAGTCTTAAAATTTGTGGGATTAAAATAAGATATTTAAGTTTTAAAAGTTAATAGATTAGAAATAACTAAAAAAGAAATGAAAAATATTATTGACTTGAAAGAGCAAATAGATTTTTAAAAAGCAAAAATGGTGAAATTCATAAAGAATAAATAGAAGCCATGCATGGTAATGTATGGCTAGAATCTCAGCATTTGGGTGTGAGAAAGAGGCAAGGGTGACAGGAATTCAAGGTCATCCTTGACTACATATTGAGATCAAGGCCTGCCTAAGAAACATAAAGCCCCTCAAAAGAATAAAAAGAAACAAAAAGAACAAAGGAATGAAGAAAAATAAGAATAAAGGAAAAAAGGGAGGTAGGGAGGGAGAAAGAGCTCAAAACCCAAGAAACTAATATACTAATAATAGGCATTCCATACTGGAAGAGAACAGATGGAGAATAAGTAATTAAAATAATACTAAAAGAACTTTTCAGTGGCTAGAAGCTAGTGATGGCTCAGTGGTTAAGAAAGATTGTCGCTTTTGTAGAGGATCCAGCACCCACATTGAGCATCTCAAACCACCTGGAGCTCCAGAGGAAGAGAATCCAATGCCTCCTTCTGGCCTTTATATGTATCCATATTCATGTGCATGCACAGATGTGTGCAGACACACGGACAAATTAAAAATAATTTTTTAAAAGAAAATTTTAGTTTGAAGTTTGAAAGAGCTCA